TAAATAAAATTAGATAAATAAATAAATAAGTACAGTACAATTAATTAATTAAGCTTTTTGCCACCGTGTCGGAAGACACAGGTTCGAACGGGAAATTTAGTTCCCGTTCAGTACTGACTACATCACTGCATTTACGTGGCAGTGTTGCCATTCGGCGGGAGGAAAGTTAAATTCAGGGGCGTATACTCGCTGAATTAAATTAGTTATTGAGCCAAACCATCTATGACTAAACTATACGTGTGGCATTTTTTGTTCTATACTGGCATGTTACCGGTAAGTTAAACTATAATTATAGGGTCTTTTTTCATATTTTCTTGCCCCAAAGCTGGTTCTATAACTAAATTGAAGTGTTACATTCGTCAGCCAGCTCAGCCCCTGTATTGTTAGTATTGTTACGGCCGTTTCAGCTTCATTGTGCTATCATCAAACTGTTCGGCCAAAAGGCGTTGTTATAACACAAAAACATTTCCACACGAAACACACACATAGGCAAAATTGGTTAAAAAAAGGCCTGTTAATAAATCGACCGCAGAGGAAGGTGGTATTCTGAAAGAGAAAGAAATTTTCTACAATTGCTAGGCATTTCTTGAAAATACTTAATAAAGGTAGGAAAAAGTTTCCTCCAAATAAAAAAAAACGTGTAAAATACAATTGTTTTCTATTTATTATGGAAAACAGGGTTTTTTATTTATCACCATAAACCATAACTAAAACAAACTTTCATAATTCATTATTTGCAAATCTTAATCTCCACGAATCAAGCCATCAGTCCAGTGAAACTGTATATTATATATTAACAAAAGTATACCGTGCAGATAATAACAAAAATATTCAATATCATCATTAATTTGGACTTCAGAAGAAGCGTATAGATTTTGAAAGTACAACAACAACAAATATCTCAAGATTTAAGAATAAGTTAACTGTGGTTTGCTTTTTATGAACATATTTTGATCAAATTCGGAAAATACATTCATTTTTTATTAAACTATTAACATTAAAAAAAAAAAAACACTTTTTTACCGTCCTTGTTGCAGCAAACCTAAGTACTCGTTAAAAATTCTATTTAAATAGGGAATAAATGTGGTATTTTTAAGGAGGCATTTTTAGTGTACACCCAATCAGGCAAATGGAAATTCGCTTAGTCTGCAGGTTTGCAGTGGTGGGGTTTTACATTCAAGTTTTATACATTCAAGTATAATACTATTTGAAACGATAAAAAGTGGGGCGGGGGATCTTTACATAATAGTTTTATGATTATAAAAACTCGTTGTAAGCTGAGCGCTAAAGACGTTAGCTGGACTTCAAGCTCAAAATAACTTAAGATTATACTAGATACAAAAAGATGTTACATGATCTTGACCATAATTGTTGGACACATTATTTTACATCGTATGGCATTATTTAATTTTTTGTAAATAATTGATTTCGGAAGAAAAATTAATTAATTTAAGTTGTTCGACTTTTTCATTGCACAGCAGCCATATCTAATTGTTGGGAAAAGATAGTGCATTGTGCTTTAGATAGCTAGAGTCCATAAACATGGATTTGTTGAAGTTATTAATACAAATATGAAAGACCTGTTAGTAAAAAGATTCCTGTGTGTGTCATGTGAATGAAAACGGCAAAGGAAAAATATTATAGGACCAAAATTATTGTTGGGTACCGGTACATTATTTTACATCATATAACATTATCCATTTTTGTGAATAATTAATTTTGATACAATCAGAAGAGTAAAAAAGAAAGAGTGTATGATGAAGCTATCAACAACGGGGAAAATACAAAAAACTCCATAATTAAAAATGAATTCCTTCCCATCCTCAAATTCAAATGATAATAGGCCTACTGTACGCATTTTGTTTTCATCCACCGTTTTTACAGCTTTCTCCATTCCAAATTTTCACTGTAGGAATATTTCATCAAACACTAAACGGTACGATGTTATTTCTTGCCTAAATTAGATATTTATGTCAAGTAAAGAAGGCTCCTACCAAAATAAAAACTTGTTTTATCCTACAAATATAACAAAGCAAACTCAAAGTTTCAGAAATATTTTGATCAAATACTTTTCCTCGTAAACAAACGCATCATGTGTACGTATTCTGTTCATTTAAGCGTTTCTTAACTATTAAATTTCGGTTAGTTTATTAATTATATGAAATTTTAAAACAATATTTTAAGCCTTCGTCTGAATTTTACACTCACAGATGTGTAGTTTTGATTCCTCACAACCTAAGATTAATCAAAAATCAACCATACTTAATCAAGATATAAAAATTGTGATCAATGGAATAAAATTATTGTATTTATATGTTGCGTACGTTGGTATTGTACAAGTAAATTGCTCGTTTATGTTATAAAACTGTGAAAATAAGTTTCTCTATGGATTCAATTCTGTGCGTTACTCTATGCTATATCAATTTTCGTCTTTTTCGCTGTTGCCCTCCCTCCATCCCCACCACTTCCACAAATGGGGTTCCACCTAGAAGGATCAAGTCAGGATTTAGGGTTTAGTAACCTTGGTAGTGTAGTGGATAGCGTGTCGGGCTGATAATCTGAAGGTGCCGGGTACGAATCCCGCTGGTAGTACTAACTTATTGTCAAATTTTTTTTTCATATCAGCAAGTTTGTTTAGGTTATGACTGTTTAATTTTATAATTAAAAAATTATAAAACTGAATTTTAGACATTTATAATTTTATTTTTAGAACAGAACAATTTTGTCGATTAGTAAACCTTCATTACCGTTTTGACAGCGATAGTGATAACAATTTTCCGCGAATAGTAATAGTATGCGCCGGTATGATTCGGAAGCGTACGACATGGTGCGGTGGTGGGGGGTGTTCTGTTCTGATCCACGATCCTCAAGAGTTGCACTGTATGCCTAGACGCTTGTCTATTTTCTTTTGTAGGTGGAAGGAGGTCGGAAGGCGATCACGTGACATAATCACCCTCCGCCAACCATATACCAGGTTCGTCGATGGTGCCATGGTGCTGCGTTGTGTTGGCACGCCAGTAAATATGAGTAACACAAGTAGTAAAACAAGAGTAAGCGTAAAGTTACGACTCACTCACACTCGGGGCGGCTGCTCGGGTACCGTCACCCCGCCGCCGACGCTTTTAAACAATGTTTTGTGCAGTAATCTTTAAAATTCGTTCGAAGGTTTTTGTTAAATCAATACAATCCGTCTGCCCTTTATTTTATTATATTGTGAATTTACGAAAGATTGGTTACTGGACTATGATAATATTGACTCCGCTTTAAAATGTACAGATATAGATTTTTAATTAATATTGTTTTGGTTTTCTATTCTGTATTTTTTATTTTCAATATTTTAATAAATTTATATTCATGAATTTAAATTTAAATCAATAAAGTGCGAATTAATGAGCTAATGTCACCTGTCTGCCATGTTATCTTATGGGACGTCTGTCACTAAACAACACCACTTGCGACACTGCCAATTCTAACAGGCCGCGGCCTGTAGTTAAAGGTGGCCGTGATTAAATAATTAATTGTTTGTTTTTTTTTTCAATATCCCCACAACAAAAAACTTATCCATCAACCGGTTGCGGAACCGGTGCCGGTTCCGAATCCGAAAACGTTGAGTTGAGTTGCAGTCACTGAGCTATAATTCTAACTGGAGGTAGCACTGAATGTCAAAGATGCTTGTCGCCAGCCGCCATGTTTGCGTGAGGTGTGAGTTATAAAGAAGCCATGTTATTGGATGAAAAAACTCACTGCTATACAGACCTAGTTATAGAAGCCATGTCATTGGTTAAAAAAAACTCACTGCTATACCAACCTAACAAAATCAGCGACAAGCTCTTGACAGACTTCTGCCATCGCAGTGATACCTCCAGTTATAATTTTAGCTCAGTGGTTTGCAGTTCAGTCTTCAGTCAGTTCAGTTCAGTACAGTAAGTAATGCAGTTTGCACTGCGTGCAGGCGACAGGGTATTTACTCAGGGGAAGTATAGATGAGCTTACAATAACAGCGCTGTGGGCTTCTCATTAACTGAGGAAACACTATTAGCATAGACTATGTTTTATCATAGATAAAACATACTCCCTTAGTAGATTTCTCATCCTTATGGAACAGCTGAAGACAATTTTATTGTTAGTTCTGTACGGTTTTCTGTAGAGGTCGTGTTTTATTTACAATTTGTTTCCCGTTATTACAGCCATTTAAAACCTCGTTTAACCAAATAATACGATCTAATCATAAACAATAACTTGTCCCCTAGTTATATAACCAAACAGTAAAGCACAAATCAAGAAATTAACCCTAAAATAATAGAAACAAAGTTTCGTCGACACTAGCGCCCATGTGTCACTTACTTGAACTAGACACGAAAAACGTGCTTCAAAATTTACAATGGGATGAGAAGTCTACTTGTGTTGGTTAGTCTATGGTTTTATCTATGCTATTAGTCTATGCTATTACCGTAACAATACGTGTTGCAGCATCGGTCTCGGTGGTCTAGTGGTTAGCGTCGGTTAGGTGGTTAGGTGCCGGGCTGATATGCTGAGAGTCCCAGGTTCGAATCCCGCTGGTGCCACTAAGTTTTTGACTAAGATTTTTTCATTATCAAGTTTGGTTGGTTTGGTTCGGTCATGTCCGTTTAATTTTATTATTAAGTCATTATACATTTTTAATTGAGCAATTTCTAGTTTTGTTTAATGAACAGAATTATTTTTTCTAATAATAAACTTTTTTATATTATTTCATTATCAGCAAGTTTAGTTAGTTCGGTTAGGTTATGATAGTAATTTTAAAATAAAAAAAAATATAAAATTGAATTTGAGGCATTTATCATTTTATTTTATGAACAGAACTATTTTTGCGATTAGTAAACCTTCATTGCCAAAATGCTCTCTTCTACAGCGCTGTTCACGGAGGAATTTTGAACTAATGCCTCAATCGTACCTCCCCTAAGTCAGGTCAGACGCAGTCGACAGTAGAGTTAAAGCAGACTAACCAACAAACCAACATATTATGGTTGAAAGTTAGAAGTAAGGTCAGGTCGATCGATAGGTTATGTTTGTTTTGTTATGTGTTTTGTTTTGACTTAAAAACACATAGCCTAAGTTTCAAGGTCTGCAACTATAGACAAATTTGTCTATGCTACAACCCACAATCTACATCTCTGTTTGAGTGAGTCTTGTCTGGTTTGAGCAAGTTTAGTCGTTTTCGTTTAGTTTTTACTGTTTAGTGTTTAGTTTCATTTAAAATGATGACGAACTCTCAAAACATGCTCTAGTGCCGTGCTTACATTAATTATTAATTTATAGCTGATGCCTGTAAGCTGATCTCAATTTAGGCCTAGCAATAAGCTTATCAATGATTAGGGAAAACTAAAAATTCAACTTTTTCTAATAAATAAGTAACTCATGGTGTAGGCTTATAGGTTAGGTACAACTGAATGTCATCAAGCTTGATAAGCTACTTGTATTTATCACCAGGGACGTACTGTCCGCGAGAGTAAAGAAGTCCCCTGAGCTCCGGCCTAGGCCTATTCGTAGTTTGAAGGCGTTACGCTTGAACGTTTAGCGCGACAATTAGAGCCGTCTTCACTCTGCTCTGCTAGTTGTTAGGCTTAATTTTTGTATGTAATATCTGTATGAATTTAAAAATCTATGTCATAATATTTTTTGCATAGTCATAAAATCGATGGAAACCCATTTTCTAGTGTTACTAAGACAAATTAATAACCTTTCTACTTTATGATTTTTTTTAGTTAAATGTAATAATACGTTGAACAATGCCAATAAATGACTATGACTATGACCAATTACTATGACTGAATTTGGCGGTAAATTTAGCAATACACGTTGCCTAATCCATTTTTCAAAGTTGGAAACATTCATTTGGCCATGATAGTCACCACCTTTGGCACTGTTTGCCGTATACATAAGCCAATCCCCCTGCAAAAACCCTTTGTTTGACCCAATGTCTGACAGAGCTGATCCAGAGCTACAAGGACCGTCCAGAACAAAACAGAACTCACTACGCGAATACACGAGACTGCACTGAATCAAATGATGTGACCACATGATGATAATCCACTTACCAAAACAAAGATATGAGTAATTATGTTTACAACAGTTGTTTACAGACAGGCGCCCAGATGCTTAGCGCCTGCAAATAGTGCGCGATACCATAGATAAATCATACTCCCTTGTGTTGATTAGTCTATGGCGATACCCTCCAAACGTAGCTGCGTATAGCTTTGGCTCAAGGGACTTCTTTACTCTCGCAGACAGTAACAAGGCATTGGCCGCAGAGGCCCCGCCAAGGGCGCGGGAAGCAAAATTCTAAATAATTGTAAGAATATTTCTAGCTACCTAATTCAAAGTTTTAACTTAAAAATGGAATCATGGTAGGCTACTTACTAGCCTATTGCTGCACTTAAGTTTACGTCCTACTTACACTCATTGGTATGAATATATCGATTGATATATCCATTATTTCATTCGATATAGCCTATAAAGTTTGGTTAGTTAGGTTAACCTAGTTCAGTTCAAAAAACTGAGAAAAACACTTCAAATTACTTTTTCAAAAATGCTTGCAAGCATTTTTGAAATAGTAATTTGAAGTGTTTTTTCTGGATTTTAATTTTACAAAAACAGTCTGCAGGCGACATAAACTAACAACTCGATACATTATAACCTGAACTTTAACTTACCTAATCTAACCTACCTTCAAAGGACTTAATGCAGTCGCCAATTCACATAAAGCACGACCTACCACCCTGACATGCCTTTTCTGACATCAAAAGGAGTTTGCTTACATTCTAGAGGTTTGGTTAGGTTAGGTTATGTTAGAATAGCACCATTTTATTATGTAATTTCCAAACGGCGAAATATAAATCAATAATGTATTAATAAGGATAAAATACTGGTAACAATAATAGGCCTACATTAATAACTTATTGGTCTTCGAAAATGAAAAGTGTAACTTAATCAGGTGATTTTCATATTGCAGAATCAGAGTTAGCTAATTAAAGTTGTCAGTTCCATTTGCTTGACTATGATTGAAAACAATCAGCTGTTGGTTTACTTAACGCATAGTTTATTCCACTTGTAAATGTCATCCATCCTACCTTGTTTATTGTAATGTTGTATATTATTACGGCGATATCTTGAGAAATATTCATCAGCTGTGAAAAATAATGGTATATTTGGATTCAGGAGGTAAAAAACTATAAAGTAAGATATCAAAATTAAAAATTTGTTTGGAGGCACCTATACGGAATAATTACCCACAATTTTTTTTTTTTAATTTATTTATCGCACACTAGCCTATGGGGTTACTGAAACTTTTAAATCAACACTCACTACTTAATTATGACATCTTACGTGCCATTTATATTTTATTACCTTCAGAATAGGTAGACTTCCGTATCTGTTGGCACAAACAACCGAATGAAAATATTGATTACCGTATTCGATTGTTTCATTCGATATAGCGAATAATCCATATATCGAATAAGTTTCGATATAAGTTATCGATGGATATTTTCATTCGGTTGTTTGTGTCAACAGATACAGAAGTCTATCCTTCAGAATACATGACGTTATGGTGAATCTTCAAATAGCACCTGAATCACTTCAGAAGGGCTAAAAGTACAATAACCACCAGAAGTAAGGTACTTTGGTATTATCCAGAGGCCACCTTTATACAGCGCGCTGCGGCGGTTACGTTAGGTTGGGTTATCATAAATATGTTAGTAGGAGCTTCCTTGTTTTGTTATGAATCAACAATACCAGATGAGTCATACTTTCGCACACAAAATCCCCTCAAGTAGGCCAAGGTCAGGTTGTTGATCTGAATGCGCGCATCACCTGTCACCGCCTGTATCTGGGGTATTTGGCGGGCTCATCTGGTATCTTTCGATTCATAATGAATTGAGGAAAATCCTACAAACATTTTGATGATAATCCAACCTAACATAACTGCCGCAGCACACTGTATCTAGGTACTTACTTGGCGGAGTAAAGCGGCAGTGACACATTCAACTCAATCCTCACCGACATCACTGCCTTCTGGGAGGCAAAACTCAAAGGCCGCTACTTGTAATCATGTCAAATTTGGACAGTACTGGTAATTCAATTAAAGTATGTGCTTTCCAATTATGTAGCCTAGTTATTTTTGGTCTCCGGTAAAAAAATCTCTATAAATAAGTAGCCTCCGGATAATACCAAAGTACTAAAGTAAACATTAAAATTAAAATAATATAAATTAAACATAAATTTTAAAACGAGTCCTTGACATCACAGACAAAAATAAAGGTTAGTGAAACCCACAACAATCTTCGTAAATAAATAACACTTCGCCTTAAAGCATGTCGTTCAAAAACAGTACAGTAAGGTTTATTACCTATGTTATTCATATTTCCTCTCTGTTTTGACATCTAAATCATTGTTTTTTAGATGGAAGACTCAAAGAACAGCCAAAATTCAACAAGTAGTATGGAAAGTGATAACTGTTCTAATTTAGGAAGGGAAGAAACTGTTAAAAGCTTGTCCCAGCCCGTTTGCTTGATTGTTCTTGGAATGGCTGGTTCAGGAAAAACTACATTGATAAAAAAGTTGACTTCATATTTGTATTCTAAAGAAAATCATCCGTATGTTATAAACCTTGATCCAGCTTGCAGAGAAGTACCATATCCAGCAAACATAGGTAAATATGAATAGTTTATAAGTTTGTAGCTTAACTACCGGTATATGTTTTGTTTGTACTAGCCTATTCATTCTATGTCAATGTCCAGGGGTTTTTTGGGGAGTTTTATGGGAGCAAAATTGGTTCATTTCCTATATTTGACCATCAAAACATTAAGTTTTGCGATTTATTTGTAAATCATTTTTAGAGCTGTAAAAAAATAGTTTAGTACAAAGCCAATATTGAAGCGTTGTTAAGATTTACAAAATAGTTTACAGAGAAAATTCAAAAAAATGTTGATGTTTATCAAACAGAAAATAAGTAAACGATTGTAGTTTTCTTGTTCGTGGATACTGTTTTATTTGCACTTAGGTATTAAAATAACTCACTTTCTTGATAATTTAAACTGGATTTGTTATGATGGCCGTGAGTTATTACCCTCCAAGTGTCCATAGTTTAGGCCTTAATGTCCACCTATTTTTGGCGCATTTGCAAGGTTTTATTAAAACGGACCTGAGAAGCTTAAAACAATGTTAATTCTAATGTTTTATATACCATTTTGTTTGGAAAATCATGGGCTTCAATATCATACATAAAACATAAGGAATATTTGTTTCAAAAAATTTATTTTGGTAAAAAAAAAATTATTTTGGAAAAATTGAAAAAAAAATAAGTTTGCGCTCAATGAAATTCTATAAATTATAGGCCTATAAATATTTAAAAATAGCCACTTTGTTCTAAATTTTATGAGGATTACAAATATATAATAATATAAGGAAGTAGATTTGCAAATAAATAAGTTATGGGCAAAAAACAGATTTCAGTAGGCCTACATAGCGTTTAGCTAAGAATGCATAGCCTAACCATAGCTAGGAATCTGGCTGATAATTTACATCAATATCACTACCTACTTCTTCAGGATCATCAACCAGCACTTCAAAACCACTTAAATCTTCTTATAATGCACCACGTATATCACTACTTTTGATTTTTAACACTAAAACAATGATAAACGTAATAAAACACATCAGTCATCGGTCCGAGGGTTACCTAGCTGTTTACAAATACACGCACGTCAGCTGTCTGCTACAATTACGATCGGCTCAGAGAACATACAGCGCTGAGACAGACCTCTGGAGAAAGCTTAGAATATTACGGAAAGAACGATACCTAACTCGATCCAGTTCAATCCGATTCAGTCAGTCATAGAGCCTTCGCCGTAAACGATGTCTGCGTGTCGAAAAATCGACAAGTAACACTACACAAAGTGTGCTGCTTGTCGAATTTTTGTCAAGTAACACTGGGAGGGTTAATACCTACCTAAGTACACAACATGGCCTGATACAACCTATACAACATGGCACTGTGAAAAAAAGAACATTGTGTAAAGTGATGTGTATTGAGTGGATAACCTCACATCAAGGTTAGGTTTCTAAAAACCATGTGACCAAAATGTAGATTTAGTTAACCCTTTGAGTGCCACACAATGATATATTGTTTTGTACGGAACATCCGTAAAATACTTCACAACGATATCATCATTGGTAGTCTTACCGAAAAATACATTGCAACGATATATGGGGCCGGCGGGACTTTCGATCATGTGAGTTTTAATAGACATATCGGTTGACTCGGTTGTTATTTTAAAACAACTATGTTTTCATTCGATTTCTTATGCAATCGAGGCACAATAGGTATATCGTTCCTTGGCGCTTTCAGGATGAAAATTTATACTTTTACTAATTTTTATTCTTGCATACTACACTTTGCCCCTGCGGCAAGCCTGGCACTTTTCTGACATACCTAGTAAAAAAAAACTGGCACCCAAAGGGTTAACTAGGCTAAACTGTAGGTCCCTTAGTTGCCATTAGCTGTATGGGCTATTAATTAACAGCTGTGTCTAAGGAACATGTCGGCCTTAGTCACTAACAAGACTACAAGATCGCGCCACTCATCCTACACTCATCCTTCACTCATATTTGGGTTAAAATACGCACATAGTGGCGTCCCCATCTTAAATAATTGATATATAATTGATATAATTGATATAATATAAAAGTTTTAGTTGATACCTCAGATCACAAGGATGGCTTAATTTTAACCTTGACCTTTAATATTGACAGACCTAAGCTGTAAAAAATGGAGTTTAGACCCCTGAATTCTGTTTAAGGGATTCAAGCAGAGTTTTACCATTTTCATGAAGGCTTCTGAGCACGAAACCAAGACCTCCGAAATAAAGTGTGCCATGCTGCTTAAGGTGTGTTGCACACACAACAATTTTGGACGACCGATTTTTTACCGGCCGTCCAAATTCCAATAGTGAACCACAGGTGGGAACGGGACCTAGCACACACGCTGACCGCTGATCGGCGCCGGTAAAATGCCGATGAGCAGCTGAGCCGGCCACTGCCAATGCATACCGCCGTTGCCAGGGATGTGCTTGCTAAATACAAGCTTGCACACGCACCGATTGTTTTCCCGACTGTCTCTGCAGTTCTTGCTAAACCATCCTCCATTCCAGACAACTGCTCTACTACTACTTTTAGTATTCTGATGTTGGATTTAATTTTTCAACTTATCGTGGAGTTTGTCAAAGGATGCTATTGACATTCTGAAATACCTAGTTGAAAAACTTACTGCTATCAAGCCTTAGTTCTTTCAAAAGTGGGTGGAATGTTCCCGGTTCCCATGTTTTCTCTGCTTTAATTGGATGAATCCAGAACTTACGTTTAATCCTACTGTGCTTAATACGTCGATACAATAACCATATAGCAAAAACTCTTTAAGGATTTGTATTCAATAATCTCGTCTCGTCCTCGACACAACAACAAAGCAACTGATCATTTCGCCGATAAAAATCTGGTATGTTTGCAAGCACCATACACCGATAAAATATCAACCGGCTTTTTACCGACCGTCCAAAATCGGTGTGTGTGTGCAAATAGCCTAACTTAATAAGGGAAGAAGGGGTTGATCTTTTCTATACCGTACTTTTGATTTATCAGAAGAAGATAGAAAGGGCTTTGATAAAGTCATGAAACCATTCAAAGACTATGCCAGTCCCAAAAGCAATGTCGTAATAGAAAGATTCAACTTCAATATAAAGAATTATAATGTTTAATCCTCCTAGATGTAGGCATGCCCAATCAAAATTTACCTATAACGATGCAAATGTTAACCATTCTTTTAATACTTTTCCCGAAATGGCGACCATACAAAGTAGGTATTTTAGGCCAAGTATGAATGGAGATGAGTGAAGGATGAGTGGCGCGATCTTGTAGTCTTGTTAGTGACTAAGGCCGACTTATTCCTTAGACACAGCTGTTAATTATTAATAGCCATCTTAGAAGGTGAAGGGCAACTAAACCCCCAGTAAGGTATCAATAAAAAATAATAAAACAATTTAAGAAAAGGGAGATGTTGTATATTAGTGTTATATTCCATATTGTTTTAAGTGTTATTATTCTTTGTCTTACATTAGGCTATTTGATTTGTTGTGTTGGTAACACTATTTTTTTGGAACCTATTTTGTACATTGGTTACTTCCATGCTGCTGTAATTATGATACACAACTACTATGACTATGTTTTGTGCTGTACCTTTATCATAATAAATCCAGTTTAAATGATCAAGACTGTGAGTTATTTTAATAGAACAGATATATTTTGGATGAAATTTGGTAATTTTATCAATTTCATATTAGGCTAATAATATTTTGCAGAAAAACTCACTAACAATTCCTTGTAGCAGAAACCTATAAATAGGTACTGTACTCATCAAACCTTATTTTTTTTACTTCCCTTGATGTGGATGATCAACTCTTGCAGTACAGACAGAGTATTATTAGCTGTATGGGCTATTAATTAACAGCTGTGTCTAAGGAACATGTCGACCTTAGTCACTAACAAGACTACAAGATCGCGCCACTCATCCTACACTCATCCTTCACTCATATTTGGGTTAAAATACGCACATAGTGGCGTCCCCATCTTAAATAATTGATAATTGATAATTGAGTAAAAAAAAACTAATGTTATTTTAATAGAGAATAAATCTGACATGTTTAAGGAAATGTTTTAGCAAAAAGATCAGGCCAATGGAAATTCACTAAGTCTGCAAGTATGCTGTGGCTGGGGTATTTCTTTATCTCACTAATTAAGCAGCTATAAGTTAAACCTCAGAGCCATTATTGACCATTGAGAATATCCTCCATGTTTGTATTTGATAACTTATGCCTCTACATGTACATGTTGTTGCACCTAGGCATACAAAAACACCAATTGTTCATATATTTATGTTAATGATGTAACATTTACAGAACATAACTTACAACAATTCTTGCGATATTATTAGAGATTTATTTTAAAAGCAAGCACAACAAGTAATTTAATGTGATTTTAACTTTACTAATTGTTTTCTGTTTGTATCATTACAGATATCAGAGATACTGTGAATTACAAAGAAGTTATGAAGCAGTATGGATTGGGACCAAATGGTGCCATAGTAACATCTTTGAACCTGTTTGCCACAAAGTTTGATCAAGTCATATCTTTACTTGTCAAAGCCTCAGAAAAACACAAACTGTGTATAGCTGACACTCCTGGACAGATAGAAGTGTTTACTTGGTCAGCATCAGGAAATATCATCACAGAAACCCTCGCTTCAACGTTTCCTACTGTCGTAATCTATGTGATGGACACCGTAAGAAGTGTGAACCCAGTAACATTCATGTCAAACATGCTCTATGCCTGTTCCATCTTATACAAAACAAAACTTCCTTTTATAGTAGCTATGAACAAGGTAATACTAATGGTATTTTTTTACTTCTGCCAAGACAAAGTAAATATGAATGGATATTTTCATTTAAGTGACATTATTATAATCTATTTGTTACTTGAGTCTCAAAACTCCAAGTTGATTCTGTTGTACAGCTCAACTTCAATAATAGACATGCAATTTTTTTGGAACCTAAAGGGAGTGGGATTACAATAAAGTCGCATAGCCAAAAAATAAAAAAAATCTAGCTATGATCTAAGAATAGTCAATTTATGATGCCTTGCTCAAAATACTACTATATCAGACTATTTATGATGCCTTATTAGTTAATTACTCATACTTAGTTTAGTTTGTAATAATCAGTTGAGGTGTCAGTAATAAAGTTCATTAAAGCTTAAGAAACATTTGTAAAACATAGTCTAATTTAAAATGTCACTTGTTTTTTTCATTACAGACAGATGTGGTGGAACACAGCTATGCAGTCGATTGGATGAATGACTTTGAAGCTTTCCAAGAGGCGTTGGAGTCTGAGACAAGCTATGTTTCCAACTTGACACGCTCCATGTCCTTAGCTCTGGACGAGTTCTACAGCGGACTCAAATGTGCAGGTGTCTCAGGTCTGACTGGAGCTGGGCTGCCTGATCTGCTCAAGTTAGTTGATGAAGCAGCCATGGAGTTTGAACTGTGAGTGAACCATTATGTTTGTACTGAAGTTAGAATTATGTAGGTTTTTTTTGTTTTGAGTGTTTTTTACACTGATGACACTTTATGTTTTTCAAAGGGGGTAGTCTAAACCCTGGACTTGTTTCCATCTAACGTAAACCTATTAATTCGTAGTCCAATGTCATCTAGATCCAAAATCTATCCTGTTTGGGACTGAACCAATAATCTTGAGAATTTTTGTAGCCGAGCATTATCAGGGAGGCCATATACCGGGAATTTTAGAAAAACCGGGAACTAAGTTAAGCTTAAGGCCCGCCGCACATTGGAGCGAGGCGTGGTACAGGCGACGCGCGGCAGATTCTGTAATACACATATTTAAATGTGCTGCGCGCAGCCTCCGCGCAGCACAGCTACAGCCTCTGTCAGGCCTCCGCAGTGTTGTAGTTGGAATACAGTTTTCCTGCACCTCGCTCTCGCCTGCTTTGGTTTTCTAGTGTTTTGTGGGTGAAAGAAATAGTAATGTAGCATTTATTTCAGATGGCTATATGTTGCTGAGCATTGCATTCCTTTCCTAATGTCACTTTCAATCAACTTATGGATATCGTCAAACTGTTGTTTGTTCACACAAAAATATTGTCTAAAAGACCGACCGGTCTGATAGTTCAGTAGTTAAAAAATACTCTCCATAGCTTAATATTTTTTTCGTGTACGATAATCACATTTCCCAAAACATTTTTTAAACAGTTTTTATATTTTTTGGATAGCCAATAGAGTAAAACTACATTTTAAACTCACAATCAGAATCAAAAAAGGTCCAAAAAATTTTCCTCCTAGTCACGACAGAAGAACCAAAGCTAGGAAACCTCTGTCCCGCCTCGCTTCAATGTGCGGTGACATGAAAAAGTCTTCACTCCCGCCTGCACCTAGCCTGCACTTTGCCTTGCTCCAATGTGCGGCTGGCCTAACTTTGTTGTACCAGAATAAAACTTGATTGTTGGCATAACTTGATCATGAACATTGACAAGTTCTACGGCTACCTCAGTCAGTGATGGGTCGTGGGCGGTATTCACTTATGAAATAGGGCTAATCCTTAACTAAGCTACTCCAGCAATGCAGCAGGGCGCCACCCAGTTTCGGGATTATAGTCTAGATGATAAATTTGGAACGTTCCATCCCCAGGATGGTGAAAAGTTTTTGCAGATCTCTGTATCTTAATTTTTGATCTAATACACCATGGGAGTAGACAAGGCCATAAGGATCTAGGTTAATTTAAGCGATGGAGTTTTTCAAATTTAGAAAAGTTTTTGAATTGTATTTTGTAATTCCATAGGTTGACCCACCTACACCAGGCACTATGGTACTATGACACATTCCAACACTGGTCTTCAAATAATAAAACAACAATTTATCTCAAGGTTTAAGCGATGATTTAGTGACAATTTAACTCTCTGCACAAGGATATATCCTGACTCAAACGACCATTACTAAGCAACAATCGAAAGCAGGAACAAAGTTCTCCGTTAATTATTCTTAAGTCAATAATGTAATTGCAACTGCAGTCGCCTTGCTGGTCAAGTCAAGATTTTTTTGTTAATCTGCTTTTAACACGTATATGCGACGCTGCGATCATTGCCACGTACCAAGTTACCTATATAATTTAATCTTACACTTAGACCGGCTGTCACTTGGTTATCAGTACACACAGACCACAGGTGAAAACCTCTTAAACAGCGATCATTTACTTTGTAATACACTGCAATCGTGTATGTAAATAATATATTATTTTTTAAAATATTTTTGATAACCTTTTGTAATGTCGCATATTTGCGACTGCCCGGTCTATAGCGAAGACAATAGTGAAAATTATTATACAGGGCGTTAATAAAAGAATCATCAGGTTTTAATGGCATGTACCTCACCCAATTCTTGTCCCGCGTTGATATTTGAAACATGTGCTTAAAAAGCATGTTTCCAAGTTTTATAATCAGTTGTTCAATAACCAGTCTTGGTTTTTTATTGGACGTGTTTGCATAATTTCAAAATGATTAATACAAGAAAAAACATCTTTACAATAATTGACTTGAACCTTCTCAAATGGCCCCCTAGATCTCCTGATCTTATGGTGTGAGTGTTTTTTTTTTCTATGGGGCTATGTAAAAGACAAAGTTTATGTACCGCCAAATTGGATGAATTCGCAATGTCGTAGAATTAATCAACCCTGCAATGCTAGCCGGTGTATGGGACAATTTAGAGCATAGATTGGAAACTTGCACCACGGCTAATGTATGGCACATTGAGCACTTGTAGGGGTATCTATGAAAAATTTATGAGTTCTCCTTTCTGTTGATATATTTTATATCCGTATGTGTTTAATATTAACGTCAATAAAATGTATTAAAACCTGATGATTCTTTTATAAACGCCCTGTACTTTTCTTGAAATAGCCCAAACTCCGCATATATGCGACAGTTCATTTTTGTTTATGTTTTGAGGTGAAAATAAGTAAAAATAAAACAGATTATTCAAGAACAGTTTATAATTGAACAAATATAAACGCTACATAGGATAATGCAGCATACCGGTACATACTGCATACATACATACAGTGATGCAGAAAAGTAAAGACCAGTTTTTCCAACTATTATATGACGTCATTAATAATCATATCCACAGACCAAGCGACGCAGTTGTGCGTCAGACATCCCTGTAGACCACTGCATAGAACTCAGTGCCTTCAAATCGACCGTTCCAAAGATATAAGCCTTTTGCTAACATTGGAACACCGACGCAAATATGCGTCAGTCTGTTTTAACGTGCCTAGCCGTCGCATATATGCATATATATGACGGCAGTCTGTGGGTTGAAACCATCCCTCGCATATTTGCGTCGCTGGTCTATATGAATGAAAAATTTGGTACTATTGCGGAAGCAAACGTGTTAGCTTTTCACACAGCCCGTAGTTTTAGCTTTAGATTTTGAAATAATATATACAAATGTATTATATTATTGACGCAGACATCTTTAGCACAAAAATGTATTATATTAGAAATGACACCATATTTATGTTGTCCTGTTAAATTTAAAGTGATTTCATATAAAAAATCTTTGTTAGGGGGGGGGGGGGGCAGAGACCTGCCGTGTGAGTCACTACTGCCTAACAGAAATTTAACTATCATTTTTTAAATTTTACCTTCCTTATAAAATCTGTTAAATGCTTTTTTTAACTTCAGCTCAAAATGTTAAGTAAAATGATACAAAACAATATATTTTAAATGTTACAAATATTTTTTTTACAATTTCTTTTCACAATAATTTTTTATTTGGACTCATTTTTCATGGTATTAAATATAAAATTTACTAACATTAAGCATTTTAGTGTATATCTTAACTTAAAATGATTTGCGATTTTGAGGTATTATATACAACAGATTTATATTTCTAGGTAGTGAAGGGGATCGGGGCTTTCAGGCAATTAGGGTGATGGTGAGTGTGCGTGCATGAGTCGGATCCCTCGCAGGTAGAGCCAAGCTTCAGCCGCTTTCCCTTAAAAATCAGACTATATTCATATTTCACTCATAGAAAACTCTATAGGAGGCTTTGATTTAACTATCAGTTGTGTTAAAGATTATATGTGTTGGTTGTTATCAGTGTATAGTCAGAGTATCAACAGTGTATTATCATGTTTAGTAGCACAGTAATGTGTGGGAACAGAGTTCGCACTCTGCTTTTTCCAATAATCCTGTATTTTAATAAAGAACCTGTTTTTCTTTGACAGTGGTGAGCGCTCCCATACTAGGAAACTTATGACTACAACACTGATTACTGTTTATTTTTTGTTGTATTTGCCATTACATTTTAGCATCAATAAATTATTTTATTTTTGTTTTTCAAGTAATTCTGATGATTTTATTGAATGCAATAACGTTTTTAATTTTTTTCAGGGATTATAGAAAGGAATGGGAAGAAGTTAGAAAGAAGCGAGCTGAAGAAGATGAGAAGGAGAAGAAGGAGAGACTAAAGCAGTTGGCAGGGGATGTAGGTGAGGGAAAAGCTGTTCCTCTGATAGGAGAGGTGAGCGCTGGCCGAGAGATTGTGGACATATATCTCAAACACCCTGCGAACGAAAGCTCAGACGATAGTGAGGGTGAAGAGAACGTACCTCAAGTATCACAGCAAGGTAATCAGATATGTCCGGTCAAATCACTTCACTAGCTTATTGTTGTATTATATGCAACTACAGTATAACTAAGTAGGAATAAAGAAAGTTAAGACTGTTTTATCTATCAGGCTTAAATCCCACACATCCAACTGTGAATTTGAACCGAATATCAATCTTTAGGATTTAAATATTTTTGGAAACAAAATTTCAATTTACAGACTTAAGACCAAGGGGCATTGGTGGTATTAACACTTTATTTGGGTAATCACACACTGTCATCATTACAAGGCTTTGTATTGTGTTTCAAACAGCACTATAGGACTAACCTATGATGACAACTTTCTTGCCATGCTGTCTCTTTATTAATGTTTTTATTCATTTACTTGTATTTCTAGTTTATGGCCATTTTTACATTTTTTGTAAGGTAACGGCCCCAACCCTGCTCTAGTTACTATCTAATGCCGGACCTTTTGTAAATACAGCATCACCAATTGATAAACCAATGACAATGGCATTTGGGTGCGAAAACAATCTTGCTTGGAATTGAACTAGGGACCTTCAGATTTGAAGGCAAGCACTATAACCATTTGTCTACCCTGACATTTGAACACAACACAGCTCACTATGCTGAATCATAAACTCCACATAGAGGTATCATTTTATACTATTTAACATTGGCAATTTAGTTTAGTGTCTTTGGTAATTAATATCGTTATTTTATTTTATTTCCAGATGAAGAAGAAGTTAAGGAAGGAGCAAGTTTCAAAGCTTTCCTTGACAAGCATAAACAATCGAGCATGGATAAGAAACAGGATAAATCTTCTGCTCCTTCATCTTTATCTTCATAGTTAGAGGACAGGTTTCAAGTGAATCTTGGTGTTTCAAAACTGATATGAAATTTTAATGCTTAATAATATGTTTTATTAAATTTAACTTAGTAACTCTAAACAGTTTTCCTAATGGCACCATCGAATTGTTGCCAACTATCCACTGGCATAACAAAGTATGCGAATGTTAAAATTAGTGATGGGTCGGTACCACTTTTTCAATGTCGGTTCCGTTACCGGTTCCTAACCAAATTCGATTCTCGGTTCCTAATTTTAAATTAGGCTACTTAATTGTTTTATTTTAAAAACAAAATAATATTCCTATTTCAATCTTTAACTTAAAACAGTTTTTTTCATATGTTATTAAGTGGTTAAGAAAATAAAACTTAGGCCTATTTGTAAAAACAACACTTTGACAACCAAACAAATTCAAATCAAAACCAAATATACCATACCAGAAGTGTTAAATATAGGCCTACCGTATTTGTTGAAATGATTCACTGTTAAACCAATAAATTTAACATAGGCTACTAACCTTGGAAATAAAATGGGCTCTGGATATTTGTTAAACTAAGTTAACTTAACTAATATAATATATAAGACTTACCGTCTTGAAGCAATCCAGTTTTTGTACTCAGTGTACAGCTGTTTCGGCTTCATAAAGCCATCTTCAGCACATTCTTCTAGAGGTCAATTCATTATAAGCTGTACACTGAGTACAAAAACTGGATTGCTTCAAGATGGTAAGTCTTATATTATATTATTTAAAAAGCAAATCCTGGTCAGCCAACCACAAAGTATATATATATATATATATATTAACTTAACTGTTTGTTAAGTTGTAGCTAAATATTATGAAGGAATCCATTTTGAGTCATTTTTTACCTATTGCCTGCATTAAGTTACTTTTAGGCTCCATCATTAAGGGAAATATAGAAGAGAAGTATTTATGGAAAGGACGTTTTGAACTAAACTTTTTAGAAAATAGGCCTAAGTACATATTCATTTGAGGTTACAGTTTAAGGTGGAGGCTTGTTGAAAAAAAAGATTTAACCAAGACTTAGTTTGGTGACTCGACTGTGATGGTTTTTTTATAGGCCTAGTGCCTGTACCGGTATTGTGGGTTTAGGTTTAAAGTGCTTGTAGACCCCACCTCTAGAGATAATTATTTCGCAAAATCTGTTGTTTGCTTCATCAGTTTTAATCAAATACTTCCAAACTTGGGAAGCCATTATAAAGAATTTATCTCAAATTAGTATATAAAAACAACAACTTAAGGTTGGCCAACTTCTATATTCTTGTAATAAACTAATCCAATTTCACTTATTATTTACAGACAAAACAATATTAATTATTCACAACAACATATACATTTTATTTCAGAAATCCGACGGATGAAGCTAAACTACATTTTAAACTCTAACCTCATTTGACATTTGGAGAAAGAGAAAGACAAAAACAATTATTAAGTACGAACCACCGAACATACAAACAATAACAAATAAAAGCCCCTTTTGGTTTGCTGAATGAAGGCTTGGCTGTTTGTCATGTAGCCATGTAACTTAGTCTCATCCATCAATAAATAAATTTTACCTGTTAACTTTAAATTTGAAGTATTGGTCTTGCGCAATGTGCAGTGTTGTCATTTGTGACGGTGGTCACAGATCGAAATCATGACTCATGAGTACCCCAATATTAAACCATTGGAAATAAAAATAAATATTAATTCAGCCACTGACTGGACTAGACTGAGTCAAACAGTTATAGTGAACTTGATTGAGTTTGAGGTTCGATTTGTACATTCTACAAAACAAAGTCAAATAAAGAACTCTATGAATTAAATAAAATAATCTTGTCACTTGTAACTATTGTAAATGTTACTAATAATCAACATCAGATAAGAAAATTATGTTTTTAAGGTGAATAATAATTTTGTTGAGTCAAAACAAATAATTTATTTGATGATTTGATCCAGTCTTTATTAAGTTCGCCTTCTGTCTTCTGCTTGAAGATGATGGAGCAAGTTGTGTTGATGATTGAACCACTCTATCAGCTGACGATAGTGAGACAACTTAATTAACTTACAATGAAATAATCATCCTATAGCCTACTATTGATAATATTTTATGATAAATATTCCCTTTCAAATAGCCTTAAGTGAAATAATCATCATCGTTGACAAATTGAATTTTTTAAATGAGTAAATAAACCTAAAGTGAGTAAATAATATGAGTAAATAATATAACCTGTTAACTTGGTACCAAAGGTATCGGTACCAACATTTCACCATCGATTCTCGGTCCCGGTACTTTTCCCAAGAACCCGTGGAACTGACTTTTGACGTTAATTACCGACCCATCACTAGTTAAAATTACAATGTTCATAATATATTTTAAATTTAAAGAATTCCCACAGTAATTTAATTCGAATTCAGTGTGATTGTTATGTTTGATAGTTTATAATATTGATTATTACTTAACACTTAGTAATAAGTACTGGCGACTCAGCTTTGCTCGGTAGAATAATTAGTATATTTGAGAGTCAGTGAGTATGTGATTCTACTACTAGCTGCCCTCTGTTTTTACTGCTATATGCAGTTATGAGACTGATGCGATAGGTATTTTTAGTTTATTATTTTATTTAAGAATTAAATTATATAAATGTTAAATTAAAGAGTTAGAAACACAATATAAAAAATTAAACTCATTATATTTAGCCAAATTTTTGTATAACTTAACTGGAGGTGGCCAACTTTTATCCGTATATTTACAACTTTTCCACTGCCTATTAACCATAGGTACCCTCTCTCAATTATAAAAGAGTAAATGCAACAATAATTCCAGATTCACTAATTGAACATAGATAATTTGCTTATTGTCTTTCAATTTGCGCTAAGTGCTCTTACTTATTAAACCCTTGAAGGATTTTAGAAAAACTGTTTGAGTTTCTTTTTCATTTGCCTTATCACTTAAAGCCTTGAAACTTGATATTATCGTCTCTTAGAAGTAATAACTCAATTAAATCATTAGTGCCCATTTTATTGGCTATGTTGTTTTCAAATGTCTAACAGATACGTCTATATTTAACTAAAATAAAAGTAAAAATCAGTGCCCTCCTCTAGAGTACCGTAGTGTAAAAAAAGCAAAATTGGTGTTGTCCAAAATCCTACTAAACTTACTAATTCTGTCAACTTCCACCCCAGCAAACACAGTTAATAATTTAAGTATGGCCTTCCACAAGCCACAGATTAGATTAAGCTTAATATGGATTGTACTTGTACGGGAATTGAATATACTCTCATCAGTGCAAAACATTTGTCATGGTTTTTTTTTGCAAATCAGCCTCCATGTCACTGTTGGACTGCAGGGATGATTGCCAGTAAATCATGAAAGCGACACAATAGTACTCACAGGTGTAATTCAATAAATTTATTTTTCTTACAGTCACCCGACAAATTTGGCTTCCTTGTACTGTTTATAGTACAGAAAGCTGCTAATTGCTGCACATTTATACTTTGTCGTACGGTTTATACTTTGTCATACGGTTTATACTTTGGCGCACATCAGGATTCCAATGAAACAACACAAAACAGCGTGGTTCTATTATGCACGTAATCAGTGTACGCTTGGAAATAGGTTGGCAACACTTAAAGATAATAATACTATGAGCAGCTGATTGACTATTATAACTATGATTTAACCTGTAATTTCCTGTTTATAGTTTCAGTATTTCTGAATTTTCTGGACGTTTCTTTTAAACGTTAAAACATTCCTACGATCTTAATAAACAAGAAAATACCTTTAAAGCATTTTTTTAGGCGCGGAAACCCCTTAAAATTACAAAAACATACGGACTATATTCTCAAGTCGCGGAGCACATTTCTTGCCGAGGAAAAATAGCGTAGTGATACGGACCGGGTACTACTTTCTCTAGGGCACCTATTTGTGTTGCCAGCTGAACCTACAAACGTGTTGTATAGTGTTTGAAAGACTAATTATTTATATGCTTTATAGTGACTGTATAGGAAAAATATAATGTGTAACACGAGTGCAAAAGGCCTTTGCTGCACTCGAGATCATTACGCAATGTTTACGAGAGTAAACATTGCTCTCGTGTGCAGCAAAGTGCCACTTTGCCCACTAGCTACACAAATAACTAGCACCAGAGCTACTGGAAGCAAAAATCAGCAGGTACAAGGTGTCACCTCTTTTAGAGACAGTATGTTAAACAAATCCTTTACGCTTTGTGTACAATCTGTAAATATTGTAGCATATTAGAGTTTCAGGAGTTTATTAAATAACATTTTTATGTAAGTGTTTTTCTCTTCCTACAAACCTAATCCAATGTTTTTTAAGTTAAATTTGATTACACTAACACTTTGCTAGATATTGTAGAGACATGACACAAATGTTGTACTGCGCTGAGTTGGAAATGTAGACCAGGAGAAATTATTTTTTTAGGACTGTAGTTTAGTTGTAGTCATGCTACTGTACTGTTAAACTATGAAAATATTACAAGATCTAAGATTAAATATTACTCAACCAATTGCATGAAAAATTTCACAGGATCCACAGAATGTAATTAAACTTTAAATCAAACTTGAAATTGTGGACATTATTTTTGTGTTAATAATTATTTCATAGAGCAGATCTATAGAACATAATTATCCTCTTAAGCGTTCACTTCCCGTTGTGAAACACGGGTAAGGTGACTAGTTAACATAAATAAGGGCAAAGTAGGAGTGTAGAATGGAGTGAGATGGCTTGTGCAGCTTTGTTACTGACTATAAGAATATAGAGGGTGTTTAAAAAAGAATCATCAGATTTTATCCGTTTATAATTTCAAAATTAATGTTCATATGGACATGAGGTAAATTTTAAAGGATAACTCATAAAGTTTTATTACATACCAACAGGACGGTTTCTCACCATACTGGAATCTTCATGTGTACACAGTTTATATCCCTCCAACAACATTGGTTAAACTGAAGAGTTGGAATTCATCACTCAAGACATGCTAGATAAGGTGTGGGACGAATTTGAATATTGCCTAGAAATATAATGTACATCTAAAGGGGGTCATTTTGATAATTTAAATGTTATGTAAAAAAACCTTATGAGTTATAATTTAATATAAGGGAGAAAACAATTTTTTGGAACAATCACCGTCCTTGTTTGAGAAATGAATTGGATGTGGTTTAAACTATTTGTTTTTAATTGAACACAACGCAGAATACACTGTTCATTGTAACTGGGTATCTTATTTTGAGTAAAATAATTTTGTATACATGTTTAATAAATATAAATCCCGGAATTGTAACGCCGGTCGCACGTCCCCAGCACAGTCTTGATTCACTAAAATATCCGTTTGTCCTAATTTGATTTAGACAATAAACTTTAGTTGCTTATTATTTATCAAAACAACGCATCCTAACGTATAAACATGAGTATTATACCATGGATAATCTGTAAACTTACATTTACATTAAGTTATAATGCTTTATAACTTTGTCTCCACACTGTTAAGTAGCGCCGGTCGCAAGGTACATAACTTAATTTTCTAGCCGTTATATGGCAGGTCGAGCGCCAGTTCCTTGTCAGTTGTGAGTAGGATGTCAGTGAAGCCCATTGTGCGTGTCAGGGCCGTATTTCCCTAACGGCGGTTGCCGGGGGCCTAAATTTTTTCTTGGTAAATTTATTTCACCGATAATTTGTTTTGCGGGAGACCTTAATGAAATCAGCACCACCACAAACTTCACTATTTAGCCGTTATCGTAGGAGTTGTTACTATTCATCCGTGAACGTCGAAGCTGTCCAGGATTTTATAGCGACTGCGGGGGTTGAAGATCGTGTCCCCGAAAACTCGGAAGATCTTCACGATTTCATCATAATCGAAGATGACGTCCCCGCGCCTGCGCAAGACGCTAAATATTTCTCCGTGGCCACACAACATTTTCATGATTCCACCGTGTTCGGAGAAGATTTTTACTGTTTCCCTTAACCACAGGCGACATTCATGATTTCGCCGCAATTGCAGAAGACGAAGATGATTTTTCTGCACCCGCGCAAGATGTTACCTCTTTCTCCGCGGCTACAGAACACTTTCATGATTTCACCGTGATTGAAGGAGACGAAGATGACGTCTCCAAGATGCTAATTATTTCTTTAGGACCATAGGAGACGTTCATGATTCCACCGTGTTCAGGGAAGACGAAAATGATGTCTTTGCGATCGTGCAAGATGTGTACTATTTTTTACAATCACAGGAGACATTTCATGATTTTGCCGCGATTGCAGAAGACGAAGAATATGTCTCTGTGATCGCTCATGATGTTCGCTATTTTGCCGTGAACGTAGATGTTCACGATCCCTCCACGACTGCGGCAGATGTCCAAGATCGTACTGTGACCGCAGAAGACCCTTACAATTTGGCCGCGATTCCAGATTTTGTATAAACTGATTATAGTATATCAATATATTATATAAATGAATTATTTCTGATCAAGATTGTTTACTCAACCCTTAAGAAATGAAAAATGTCTGGCCCCAACCTAAGACCCCTGATATAGTTTTAAAAAAATAATAGACATTATTTTATTAGCTAGTCTCCTAGGTCTTTTTGCCGATCAGATTGTTGAACACAAAAGATTGTCCATGGAGTTGAAGCAATACCACGTCCATTTCTACCTTTAAGTTCCAACCTTCCGAAGAATCAGAATATAGAGGGGCCTCTCTGGTGAAAGCCGTCGGGGGCCTAATTGATTTTAAATACGGCCCTGGTGCATGTGCTCGAAATTCAGCTATTTACTGGTAAGTAATAATTTATAAAATATTGTAATAAACAGGTGTTTTATGTTTCATACCGTAGCATCGCTCACAAAAAGTAAAGCCACAATGATTAACAGTCAAATGTTGATATTGCTTCACTAAAATATGCTGTTTGCTATTTTAGAAAGACAGGTTTGCTAGAAACTAATATGGGAGATGCTGCCATTTTGGGTTATCTCGTAAATAATAATTTTTTATCATGACTCAGCACTGGTCAAATAAACAAGGGACCTTCTTTTGTAATAATTGATGTGATTGTAAGTCATACAAAAAATCTAATCTATACTTGAGTAAAAATTTTGAAACGTATGTTATTATTTCCCTGGCCTTTTACTTCGAAGATACTGAATATGTAGTTTATCATTATGTGTTGTAATATTTTTTGGGACGGGGCCAACATGTTACACACAATTATTTGGCTTTAAATAGGTTCCAGGTATTTTTTTCGTATTTTTAAAGTCTCAAAACTCACGACTGTCACGTGTCCCTAGGGTACATTTTGCAACTTTCATGCTGTTTTTAGAATAATTATTCATGCCGAAATATTTAATGTCATATTTTTATTACATCAATAGTTATTAAACTTAGGTCTGTCCCTCGATTTGACGTCACGACCATTAGGGAGAAATTTGCAACTTTGGAGCACGACAGTGGCAAGCCTGGCATCGATGGAGTCAGTTAGTTTTAGAGACTAGTTCGGGGTGTACGTCAGGATTGTAGTGCCGATCGTTTCGAGTTGAAAGGTGGAATTACAAGATTAATAAAGGCAAGTTTGTGTTTTTTTGTAATTTTGGTGTGTCCATGACCGTACGTAGTCATTTGATGAAGTAGACATGGTGTTAACTTTTGTTTATAAGATATTTCAATTGCTAGATTAACCTAGAAGTCCACTTTGTATCCTCGAACATGAGGTGTGTTGAAGATCAATTCTAATGTCCATGGAAATATTGTTCAAATGTATTTGAATTAGAACATATGGTATTATTTCATATGTTAAACATTATTAATAGTGTTTGTTCCAATGATGTAAATAGTTGTTGGTTTCAGTATCCCATTTTTGTAAGTATAAAATTAAACCTTTAATTCCAAGACTTAAAGTTTCCTACTAATAACAGGTTATGGGCTACTAATTTGAGGATAAGGTTGACTTGGAATGGCAATGGGAACTCCAATTTTGGTATTAAAACCTTTTGATGGACACAATTTTAGTAATTGGCTGTTCAGATTAGAGTTGGTATTGGAACAGTATAAAGTCCTAGATGTCTTGACACAAGAAATTCCTGAAGAAGAAGGGCCAAGGTCTGCCTTCATGGAAAAAGATGTCAAAGCAAGAGGTCTGATAGTACAGCATATCACGGATGATATCATGTCGACCATCAAGGGCCAGAAGACAGCAAAAGGGATGATGAATCTCCTCAAGAGGACGTATGGAACGACTGGCATTGGAGAGCAAGTACGAATAAAACAGGAACTGGGTAACTTAAAGTTCAATGGTGAGAGCTCATTACTGTCTTATTTCACAAAATTTGAATCTTTGGTAAATGACCTTAAGTCTGCTGGTGGAACAATGGACAATCAGGAAATAATAACGACACTTTTGTCTTCTATGCCCTCAAATTATCAAACAGTAACTCGTACTGTAGATATTTTATTTCACCAAAATCCTGATGCAATTACTTTAGTTTTTCTTAAAAATCAGTTGTTATCTGAAGAAGTACGCATGAAAGGTGAGTTTGGTTCAGTGGTACACGATACTGTTGTTTTTGTTGGACAAAAGAAACAAAAGTTCTTTAAGAAATCTAAATTTTCGGTTAAAGAAAGTGAAGAGCGAAACAAACCGTTTAAATTTAGATGTTATGAGTGCAATGAAAAAGGACACCGTAAAGCAGACTGTCCTAAGTTAAAAGGTAAACAGTTTAGATCTCATATAGCAGATAATGACGCATGTTTTGTAACTGAAGATGACGTAGCTCAGAGTAGTATCCATAGTAGGACTCTAGTGAATTTTGTAGTAGATTCTGGATCAACACATCATCTTGTTGATTGCAAGACTGGTGTTTTTCTTGAAAATGTTGAAGATGTTGACTTTGACATTCAAGTTGCCAAAAATGGTCAAACTCTGAAGGCTACAAGATGTGGTACCTTACGGTTAATTCTTCCAAATAGGAACTACGTGACCATTGAAAAGGTAATAGAGTGTCAAAATCTCACAAGAAACTTGTTATCTGTTCGTAAAATTGAACAAAAGGGTCACAATGTTTTATTTTCTAAAGATAAGGTTTTTATCAAAAAACCAGATGGAAATGTACTCTTGACGGGTCAAATCAATGGAAATTTGTATATGGTTGAACTTGGTTTGCCATGTGAATCACAAGCGCGTAGTATAAGGATAAGTGGTAATGATGACGAGCTGTTAATGCACAGGCGAATGGGACATTCGTCAGTTTATCCTTGCAAACAACCATGTGATGTGTGTCTCAGGGGAA